GGAGCCGAGGTAATAATAAGCATAGTAATATGTACTGTGTGCCACTAACTAGCAACAATGATAAACTGTAGTAGCAAACATTAAAGGAATGAATATTTGGAATTGAAAGTGGTGAAGTGCGAATCATGTAGCAATTAATTAATTCGTGTAATGTAAATACATGCATACAGCATACATCGACTAGCCCTCCCTATTTCAAAATATAATACTTATGATATTTTATTAGGATAAACTTTTAACCAATAATTACCAAACAAATATACATGGGAAATTACTTTTGAATACAAATCTAATAATATCGATTTTGCATTAAAAAATAGTATGCGTGCCTTGTAACACTAATAAAAAAAAATCTTTCCATACGGTAAAAAGTGGTTTTCGCATCTGGCCAGGCCAACTGCCTCCCACGAGGTGTCTGGGAAGATCTTGATTTTTCACATATGGATGTCCTGACCGCACACAGAAATCGGTTTTTTCAGTTGGGCCTCATAAGGAGACCGCTTGCGAAAACATGATTTTCACAAGCAGTCAAGTTACACTCCTGATTTCTATGACTTTTACAAAATAAAATAATGCAGAAACCCTAACTTGATCCTCGCCGCTGGATCCACGCTTGGCGAGCTCCCAACATCGGATCCCTCTCTGATGAAGCTCGACGCCACCGCTCATCCGTGTCGTGGTTGTCGATCCGCTGCCTCGCCCACTACCACATCTGCACCTCTTGAGGCCCATCGTTGTTGTTGTTGTAGGGATAGGGGTGGAGAGGTGGTGAGATCCGCACAGGAGGGGGAGAGGCTGTCGGATCCACCCCTCCCGTCGCCGCCACCGCCAAATCCGCGCGCATGAGGGGAAGAGACCGTTGGATCCGCCCCTCCCATCGTTGCCACCGACAGATCCGCACGTGTAAGGGGTGAAGAGGCGATGGGATTCGCGTGGGAGGGGGAGAGGCTGATGGATTCGCCCCTCCCGTCGCTGCCACCGGTGGATCCGCGCAGTCCGAGGATGCCCCCACCGCCGATCAAAAGTCACCGCCACTCCCACCGTCGTCGTTGCCAGCTCGAGCCCGAGAAGGCCGGGCGAGAGTGGAAGGGTGGAGGAAAATGAGTGGAGAAAAATGACAGCAGAGAGAGGGGAAGCGAAGGAAAAGGAGGAGTGGAGAGAGAGGAGAGAAAAAGGCAAAAGCACGTGCTCAGCACGTACCACAAGCGGAGAAGAGAAACCCCAGCTTGCAAAAATCCATTTTTTCAACCGGACATCTTATAATGTATGTTTGCGAAAGTGGGATTTTACAAGCAAATCTTAACCGAAATTCATCAAAATATGTTTTTATACGAGCATTAATTTAGCCAGACCGTCTATGGTTAAATAAGGGAAGCGTAAAAATCATTTTTTACAGTGTGAAAGCTGAAGGAACTAGCATAGCTATAGCCTCGCCCGCTGGGTCTATAGTTCTATACTTAAGGGCCTGTTTGATACAGTTCCAGCTCTAACTCCACCCCTCCTGGAGCTGGAGCTCAGCCAAACAGTTTCAGCTCCACTAAAACTGGGAGTGGAGTTGGGTGGAGCTCTCTCACAAAATGTACTAGAGCTGTGGAGCTGGGTTTAGGCAGCTCCACAACTCCACTCCAGACTCAACTCCTCGAGTTATATTTAGAAGTTGGAGCTGTACCTAACAGGCCTTACTTGCGTGTTTACGTATCAATGTACTTGCACACCGAGGTCTATAATTTTATATACTCTTTTCGTATAAAAAAACTTAATATAAGAGGGAACATGATCACTTCTACAACAATGAAGTACATATGATTATACAGATTATTATAATGAGATAAATCATATTATTTTTTAGATTAAGTTTTTTTAAACAGATAGAGTAGTTTCTACTTGTGTCCACATCAATAGTTCTATGTACTGCGCGCTTACGTGTATGCCTTGGTTTGTGCCCTACTCCTACTCCGGAATATCATCTTGATAGTTTTTCGAGACTTGTAGAGTAGGAGTATTCACATACTACTAGGCTTTTCAGTAGAGGAATAATAACACCTCCTCTCTGTGGCCGGGGTCACTGTTGCAGAGTATAGTCGATCGCATCACTGCACGTTGTTCGACGTCATGTGCAGCTAGCGTGGATGTCCTTCATAATTTTGCGATACACGGTACAGTACAAAGTAGGAGTACTAGCGTTGAGCTTCGCGTGTAGGGTATGGATTAATTTTGAGATTATGGCCCGGTTTAGATCTCACCCTAAAAGTTTTCATTATGTCGAACATTTGAACACTTGCATAAAGTATTAAATATAGACTAAAAAATAAGATTGCGATTAATTTGCAAGATAAATCTTTTAAGCCCAATTACTTCTTGATTTGATAATACGGTGTTATAGTAAATATTTGCTAATAACATATTAATTAGGCTTAATAAATTCGTCTCGCGGTTTACTGACGGATTTTGTAATTAGTTTTTTTATTAGTGCCCGAACACCCTATACGACACCCTATATAATACCATGCATCTAAACACCCCCATAGTCATCGTGATCATGATTAAGATGGGCTATATACCCATTTAAACGGACACGTGATTTTTTTTTTTTGAGGGAACCTTATTTAAGAACTAGTAGTAGTATAGTTCACGGAGGTTCGAACTGAATTCGAAACTACAGATAGCTCTCTGATTCATTTATTCGAAACTATAGGTACGTTTTCCCTCCATTGCAAAATACTTCCTCTGTCCCACAAAATAGCAATTCCTAGAAGCCTAGGCTAAACTAATACATGCATCCAAAGACCAAAACTCCCTCACAAAGTACAATCATCAATTCTCAAACAATATATGGCGGATGGGAGAGTCCTAGTAATAGAGAAAGAGGACACGGTCTTTATCGACAACTCTTGCAAATTACTTGATTGCTTCTCTTTTTTTAGCAGAACTCGATTTTTACCGGGACAACTTCTCCGTCCTAGAAATAGGTTTTTTGACAGAGAGAGAGTATGTTCATTTTTCACTCATACCATTCCCATACATACCAATACAAACCCTGAAAGACTATAATACTTTCAGTTTATCAAATCCTGATATCATTATTTATTTTGATATCATTATTTATGTACTCCCAATACATTTATATCTTACTTTCACAAACTCTGATGTAATGATTATTTACAAAATAAAATATATTGTAAGAAATGGGAGAGGCTAAAAAACAACCTAGCTACTTATACGGGATGGAGAGGGAGTACGTGGCATGTTTGTTTTTCTTCATTATCAAATATTGTGATAAAACTTATCAAACTTCTTCGAAATTGAATTAATTTGTCAAAAGGCACATATGAATATCTGCAGAAAATATTTTGAGTTATGTGTTTTAAGTTATTTTTTTAAAAAAAATTGTTACATTACATTCAAAAAAAAGTGTGGTCTTCGTTGGTAACCACCGTAAGAAGTGTGGTCTTCGTTGGTAACCATCGTAAGATTGTGAATTTGTTTGATGATACTGATAATTTGCTATATGACACGATATGGTCATTAAAATATTATTTTCATTAGAGGTGGAGAGAGAATTTAACCCCCAAAAAAAAAAAACTTTGGTGGCATGCCTTCTTCGCCATGGTGATTGAGGGTGATTGGGCGGGGGTGCATGGGAGGAGGGATTTGCAGATTGGGCTGGCATCACAGGTCACAGACGGCTGGCGCTGGAGGCAAGCGGCTCTAGGAAGCTAGCAACTCGATCAGTTGTTGCCCAGGACGGTGAGGCAACCCGGGCTGGCGATCGATGTCCAGCTCTGGGAAGCGGCTCGGCTACAGTACTAGTCACCGGCGTAGTCGTTGCCGATATGAGTGAATGTCCAGTTGTTAACATAGTTTATGTCTCGTTAATTGAGTGAATATTGTGTTTTAAATTTTTAATACGTCCGATATCCTGCATCAAATTAAAGTTTTCTCGGCAAATTCACGTTTTTTTGTGATGTCTAGCACCAAAAATCATCCTGTTGAGGGTGTTGTAGCAAATTTTATCTTTTTTTCATACATGCAATTTCATAAATTTTTATAAACTGTAATTTTTTTAATGTTTAGGAAGGAGTAGTCTCTTTGTGTTTTCCTTTCAAGAGTAAACTGCACAGACAGTCCCTAAACTTGTGATGGTGTATCACATAGGTCCCTAAACTCTCAAAATGTATTTTTTGTGTTCCCGAACTTGTCTAGGGTGTCGTATAGGTCCAAACAAGCGCTAATCCGACCCATGTGTTGACTTGACATGTCACAATGGTTTCTACATGTTGGTGGGACCCACATGTCAATCACATAAAAAAATTGAAGGATAAAGGAGACAAAAATGTTTTTTTTTAATTTTGAAAAAAAAAGAGAGGAGAGAGAGAGATGAGAAAAAGATGTTTTTAAATTTTTATTCTATGTGTGTTTGATAAGTGGGTCCCACTAACACGTAGGTGCCACTATGATATTGTCATGTCAGTGTACAAACCTACATGACAGTCAAGATAAGTTTGGAGACAAGAAGAAAAGAATTTTAAGAGTTTAGGGATATAGATGATATACTACGCATGTGCACTTCACTCGTTTTGCAATGTTGCAATTGATTTTCCTTTTTATGTTTCACGTGCTGGGGTCTTGGTGGTGTTGCAACAAGTATTGTTGACTGTTGCATCTGTTAGAAATATGCATATGCATGTTTCATCGAGTGAGGAACTATTTGAAACAGCTAGCGGGGTTTGAAATTTCGTTTCAAAATTTCCGAAATTTCAGTAATCTCATATATGGCCCGAAATTTTCGGTTTTTTGCAAATCTTTATGAATTTGGTCAAATTTTATTCAAATTCATTCAAAATCAGTCAAAATGTTAAATAATTTCGGCCAAAAAAAAAAAGAAATTCCCGAAATTTCTGTGCCCCCGGCAGAAATAGCAATTTCGAAATTTAAAACTGTGAGCTAGCCAAGGAAATTAATTAAGCACAAACAGCGCAGCTTAGCGAAGTGAGTGAGTGAAGGAGTGCGCGCATCGCTTCGCCTGGAGAGACCACCTTCTTCTCCAATCCCCAGTTTTCTCCCCTTGCTGCTTTTGCCCGCCCCCCTCTCCCCCCCAAAAAAAACCAAAAAAAAAAAAAGAAGAAGAAGAAGAAGAAGAAGAAAGGAAGAAGAAAACCTAGCTAGTGTGAATCGCGAGCACTTACCGATGCTTCGAAGGGCGACGGCTGCGGTGGCCGGCCGCCGTCTACGACCGGCGGTGGGCCTCTCGCCGTCGGCCCCGGCGAGAATGGTGATGGGTTGCACCCACCAGCAGCTCGCCGACCCATGGGCATGGGCAGCCCGCGAGGAAGGTGGCCGTGTCGCCGGCAGCTCCCTGCCACGGCGGCCGACCCCTACCACCGCCATCGGCCGGGTCGCCGCCGGGCGCCGCCCACCTGCACCGGCAACTGGCCCACCGCAGGGGACGCCCGCCATGTCGCTGGCACCACCACCACCAAAGGCCTCGCCTTCCGCCGCCCGCCTGCAGAAGCCGGCAGCTTCCTGCCACGGCGGCCAACCAAAGGCCTCGCCTTGGGCCGGGTCGCCGCCGGGAGCAGCCACCCACCTGCAGCAGCCGTCGCGGATGAAGCTCTCTCCGTCGCCGGCACCTGGCGCCCAACACCTGCCACCGGCAAAGCCCTCGCCTTTGGCCGGGTCGCCGCCGGGAGCAGCCACCCACCTGCAGCAGCCGGCGGCGAGGATGCTGGCCTCGTCGCCGGCGAAGAGGGTGCTCTCAGTCTTCTCACCATCAGCGGCCGGGTCGCTGCGGAGGGAACGTAACCATCTGCCGCCATTGGCCAGCTGCTTCTGCTTGCGGGTGGGTAACTCCAAATTCCAAATTTAGGTCCAATTAAAGGACCCCCAATTTCCTCGCTTGTAGCTAGTCTTATCTTATTTGGGTCATGTATTCATTGACTGATGATTTGGGTCGTGTATATATTGTGTTTGCAGCGGCTGATGAGTACCGGACTACCTCAAATTCCAAGTCCCCCAGCAACACTGATGAGACCTTGGTGTAATGAGGATGAGCAGGTGCCTCAACTAACCCCTTTTAAGATCAGTCATGGTGTCTCGGATACAATGATGAAGCAGTATGAGGAAGACTACAAGTATCTTGTGGAGGAGGGGCTGGATCTTGAAGAGATGAAGAAACTTTACCATGAGCTGGTGCGTCCCGTTTTAGTTGCAAGCTGTCTGATTCTTGAACATCACATTGTCAGTCCTGAAACCAAAGCGCTAGATCAGAAATTCAAAGACAAGTTCGGGAAACCCCCAATCTATCTCTCAGCTCTTGATATAATGAAGACCTTGATTGCTATGGAGCCGTCGAGATGGAGTTACCTTATGGATTTCTTAAGAGAGAAACGTATATAATTTTTTAGTTTAAAATATTTAATACTTAATTAACCTCCCATGCTAAAGTTGGTCATCGGCAGATCTACGTATTGACAAAAAATACATATGTTTACAATTAATGTGCACACACATCTAGAATTGTGCAAAAAAAATGTGACAATCATTTTCCAAGATAAGAAATTCAAAAATATTGGTTTTCCAGTTCCATTTCTAGGCATCAAAAAATATATAGGCCAACAGACAACAATAGCCAGTGACCATCCACCAATGGACTCTTTGATATTATTGTTGAAGGAAACTATGAACTCTTCGATTAATTAAAAGCAATAGGCTGGACTGAAAAATCCACTCATGTCTCTAACCAGCACACTAATCTTCTGTCGAGTTCCCTGAGTCTGTAAAAACTTCAGCACAAAAGGATTTACTTAATCATGGCACTGTCTTCATATGTGGCCTCTGCTGACGGCAATGCATTCAGATGCGGAAATATCAACAGATCATTCACTGCAGCCACAGTAAAGAAACCGTGCGGTTAGAAAGAGTGACATACAAGCAGTACAGCTCTTGCAAGTAAAAATACTGCCAGTAATTCAGCAAGTTAAAAATGCTACTCGGATGTCGAATTTCACGCTAAAAAAATCTATAACATTCAGATAAATCCAAAGTGCGCAGAATTGTCTAGGGATGCCTGAAATGAAAATTTATCAGATAAGTGCAGATGTATTTCACTTCTGTAGTTTTTTCTGTTCTACAGTATTGTTCAGACAAGTCCTAACTCAACGAGCAAACACATCATAACTGCATTTTCCCCACAAATTCTGCAAGTTGCAGAAACAATGCACAGTACAGAAAACCGGAAAATTTAAAGTGCTGAACAAACAAAAAAGGACCAGAAAAACAATAAACACTGCCCACTGGATGCCATGCATCCATTTCACAGCAAAATCATGACTACACAAGTAATGTTCAGAAAATTCAGCAACATGCATATCCGATGTTCAATTTCACACTAAACTACCAACATGATCATTTTTCAAACAAATTGAATTGACGATACAAGCTTGAACTAGTTTCAGTCCATCCATCCATTTTAGGTGTGAGTCACAACAATAGTTGTTGGCCAGATGACACAATATCAAGATACCATTCAAGCATTCAGCTACTACTAATTCTGATTATCTACATTATTCAGACCATGCATTATGTGAAATAATCTGCAACATTCGGATAAATCCTACAACATTCAGATAAGCCCAAAATGCATACAATTGGCTGACATGAAATTTCGACAGATAAACGCAAATATATTTCACTTCTGCAGTTCTGCTGTTAGTATTCTTCAGACTACATTTTTTTTAGAAATTCTACAACAGAAAATCTACAGCATTGAGCTAACATAAAAAAAAAAGAAAACAGAGATACTGCTACGAATGTTCAACTGACTGGTTTGCCCACTTTTGCAGCACATACACACGAGCATTTAGGCTCTTTTTGGTGCAGTCCAATAGCTAATACAGGATTGCTATATATACCATTTAGCATATTAAACATCGGGATGAGTCTAAACTACACGAGAATCAGACAGTCCAGGCCAGACATATCAATAAGATCTCAAATTAAGGCGTTGAACTTCCATCTACTTTGTAAACTATATACATATGTACATATGAGTACTGAAACAGCAGCAAAAAATAAGGATGACAGTGTCAACGAGGCCATTAATTAATTTGTGTAACGAAACATGGAATAGAATGTAAAGGAATGTTATAAAACCCAGGCTGTTGAAAACGTGTTACTAAACTCTAGAGTGAAGACAGAAATTTAGCGACTGTGTCTAGTGAAGATAAAACAACAATAGACTGCTAGAACGGGGCTATGTTATAACTAGCGGCTGCATTACCTGAATGAAATGGAGAGGTGGCGACGACTCCGATTCCAAATCAGACGAGGGTCGGCGCGCGACTCCACGCACAACGAGGGCAGGCGACCGGCGGGGAGATCACCGAGAATCTCGGCGTGGGGGCAGCGAGGTGTCCGGTGCCACGTAGTTCGTCGGCGCTGGGACCTTGATACCAAAGGTGGACGGGAGTTGAGGGGGACGGCATTGGCCTTTCGGCGCTCTGGTAGAGGGGCGGCGCCACCACCGGCACGAAAATCCTAACGGGCGAACGATCGCCCCACACGATCGGTGGTGATCGGTTCCCCTTCCCACTAGGGGTGAAAACGGAGCGGATTCGGACGGATAGTGGTCATACTATATCCTAAACCATATCTTTTAAGCGGGTGCGAATAATGTACAGATGCGGATGCGGAGCAGATTATTTCGGATGTCAAAAATGATACGGAATCGGTTCGCAAACGGAATAAATTTATCGGATGTTACGTGTTTATGCAATCAATACAACATCGAGTTAGCAATGTAAGGAACAATAATACAATAAATCAATAAACGACCCATCGCAATAATTATATACTTAAGTGGTAAACAACATGAAAATATGATGTCCATAATGTAAAAATACAACTACGCAAGTGTGACATGACACGGTGAAAGCCCTAGACTAAGAAAATCTAGGTTAATTGATGAATTAGGTCATTGGATGGACCAACTTATGTTATATGCAATAGATAGAGTGGTTATATGTGTTGATAATTTCGGATTATCTGGAAAACGGCCTATCGGATAATCCGTATCCGCCGAATTTTAGAGATAACATATCCGCCGGATTTCTAAAAGCCCATACCATATCCTTGTTTCGGAGCGGATCGGATCGAATCGGATATTATCCGATCTGTTTTCACCCCTACTTCCCACATGGTTTCTTTTTTGTCACCGCATTATTTTTCTTTTTTAAGTAAGTTTATACACCTAACGTTTACAACCAAAAATTTATATACCGATTCAAATTCAAATATTATATATATAGAATATTTCTATACATAAACTTTATACTTGCATTATTTTCCTCTTTTAGTAAGTTTATACACCTACAGTTTACACATATAAAGTTTATCCACCTAAAGTTTGTAGAGCAAATGCTTATAAATCAAAAGTTTATATACCCTCCTTTCAAAAAAAAAGTTTATATACCCGATTCAGATTTAAATATTTTATATATAGAATATTTCTATACATAAAGTTTATGTGTGCAAAGTTTACAATATAAAGTCTATACACATTAATGAGAGTATTAGATTTTTTTTTCTAATTTTCTTTATTATCTTTGTTTTTTATTTCTTGAAATTTAGTATGATGAAAGGAGATAAGGGAGAGGAGTATAGGGGGGGAGGGGGCGCCCAAGGGCTAGGGTTTGCCTGTCTACGCGGTGCGGTAGGACTGAGTGACGCGGCGCGGAGGCCAGGATTCGCGGCGGACTTGGCGTGGCGCGACACGGAGTTAGGGGTTGGGAACGGGCGTGGGGCGTGGTTTGGCTCGATCGATCGGTGCAGCGTGACGTGACGCGAATGCAGATCATCTCATCTCGAGCCGGTCCGGCACGGGTGCGGCGGTGCGGACGTACACGATGCCGGTGCGAGGCGCGGTGAAGTGGCTGGCCCTGGCGCACGGGCCAGCACGCAGGCACGAGCGAGATCGATCTTGGTGGTTGTGTACGAGACACTGCCTGCCTGGTTGGCTATTGCATGCGTTGAGTTTGGATTGGGCTGGGCCTGAGTCCAACAGGTGGTGGACAATGAATGAATAGTGACAGCTGGAAAAACAAAAGAAGAGAGAAAATGGCAAGGGCCAGACATGTGCAGATTGTGTGAATTCAACGATGACATGTTTTCTATCCAAATATTTTCTTTTAATCATCTATTTATTATTTGTTTGTTTCTCCCCAAATGAATTTGCTTTCCATTAGGTTAACTTAAATAATTTGGAGGTTTTGATATCCTAGAAATTGATTAAGAAAATATCCTTATAAGACAATTATTATAAAGGTAGTGATATATTTACTCCATTTATTTATGTGACCAATAGTTTTACATGCATGAATGAATTTTATGCCATGTGACTCTTGATGAAAGTTGTAAATATTCCAGTGGAACACTCTTTTTATGGTTAGGGTCATTGTAGTGGCTATTTCATGTGTACTTAATTGTCATGACACTCATCAACATGGTTTAATTATTTAACATTCAATTTGTAATTTATATTATAGAAATTAATAATAATTAACTTGTACTTCATTTGGCTTGTTATCATGTGCACAAATATTTATAGGATTAATAATAAATATCGTATTGTCGTAAACTGTAATTATTATTTATATGTGCACCTTTTAATTTGATTCTCCATTGGGACGATTTATAGTTTAGCAAGCAAAAGCAACCATAACATCCAGCATGATGCAAAAGTTTGAAATTTTAGTACTTTTTATTATCAGAAATTTTCAGGATGTTACAATGCCCCTCCTGAAACCGGTGACATCGGATCCGCCATCGTGTGGCTTGCTGCCGCCACAATTGTCGTCGCTGCCGGCCTTGGATTCTGACGGTAGCGGATCCGCCCCTCCTGAGACTGGTGCTGCTGGATCCGTCTACCGTGGCTTGCCACCGGCATCAGAGACGGACCCAGGTGCTGGAGCATCTGGACCATAGCTCAGGGCCTAGGATTCAGAGCCCATATAGAGACATATTATTCATCATGTAATTTGCTTGTTAGTCCAATACACAATGGGCTGCCCCTGGGGCTGGGCCAAACCTGGGTCCATCCCTAACTGCTGCCGCCGTCGTTGCTGCTGATGCCATGCCACACCTGAGGTCATCCGCTCGCGCACTCCTCTCCCGTCGTCGCGCTGGCCACCTGGTCCCGAGGAGGGAAAAGAGGAGACGGGAGGAAAGGAACGGAGGAGATGGGAGGAGAGGGGGAGGAATGAGGAAAAACTTAGAGAAAGCAGTGGGCGGAGGCCGCCCCGATGCAAAATTACAGGCGAGCTTCTTAACATGTTCGCATATGAAAATAGACTTATTTTTTAAGCGGATCTAGATCCGTATGTAAAAATAAATTTTTAAAATTTTGATTTGAGATAGTTAATTTTTAAAATTTAAAATATGTTGAAATAATAAAATTTCCAACTTATTCACCATGTACATGTACATGTAGTTGAAAATAAAAAATATGTCCAAAATAATAAGCTTTTGTTAGGCGGGCAGGGGGGCATTCTCGTTGCCTCGTTGTTCCCTTCCCCTCCTTTTCTTCTTCTTCCTCCTTGGAAAGCAAAAAAAGGCCAAATTGGAGGAGGGTAGGGAAGCTTCGGTCTCTTCGTTCGTCGTCAGTGGCGATTCCCCCACCCCCCCTCCCTCCGGCCGCCAAAGGTCAGTGACGATTTCCCTCCCTTCTCTCCCTCTCCTCCGCCATCGTCCCCGCCGACGATCCGTGCACGCCACGGCCCAACACATACGGCCAAACCCTAGGTGGTGCGATTCCTCTCCCCCTCCCTCCTTTGCAGCTATGCACCCACTCGATCTGACTTTACTTTTTAATTGTCACTCGGAAAGGAAGTTTTTTTTTTTAAAAAAAGTTTTTCTCCCTCAACAAGTTTCCACATCCCCTATCCGGGAGATTTTTGAAATTTGTGATGTTTAGTACTAGTATTTACCAATCCCACACTCTCTGTTACTAAGGCGTTGTCCTGTATTATTTTACATGCTCTGGTTTTATCTGAGAGTAGTTGTTTTGCTGCCCTCAGATTCCAAGTTAGTATTCATCATGCCAAGTCTGAAACCTTTACTTTTCACTTGAGCTATATGAATTACATTGGTTCCTGTCCTTGCCAGTTAACTTTAGGTACTCTCCATGTTTCATCATAGTGCTATACTGTGGCTTGGTTGTTCATGTTCTAAGTAATCCACGTTATACACATAGTTCATAGAGTCATACAATATCTGCGGTCCAATTTATAATGTGACTAACATAGTATCTACAGATGTGGTATATCGAGTGGATATAATAAAAAAAGTTCCAACCTTGAAAACCGGTAATTGGAAAATCCGCGTGCTTACCCACCTTGTAACACCTGTATAGCTTAACTGGCAGCTTATGCGGCTTAATTAGTAACTACTCCCTCCATCTACTTTTGATAGTCATATCTCATCTTGGCACACAGACCAAAGATAAGTAATTCTACTTATTATCTATTTAAACATGCTACTAGTCATTCCTCGTAGATAAGCGATTCATTAATATTTACGTTTCTCAATACCCATGTAGCCAATCATGTGTGGAAGAATGGAGAGTCACGCATTAAATCCGAGAAAGTTATTAAGATGATAAGTTGTTGGATTAAAATATGACTATCAAAAATAAATTTTTCAGATTTGAAAATATGACTATCAAAAGTAGATGGAGGGAGTACAAGGTTATGCCATCCATTCCTTATATGTGGCTTCCTACAACTTCTCTACAACACTGCTAAGTTCTAGACTTCTAGAAAGATGCACCTTTTCATCTGTTGCACGCACACATGTTCAGAGGATACAACTTTTTCAAAAACAACACACACGTCTTAGTACATTCATCCACAAGAGATCTTTCTAAAGTGATGGGGGGTGGGTGTAAGCTGTAGAGTGCACAATTTCAACCACAAGCTCTTTCTGTTAAAGGATTAAAGAATAGTTGGCAGCCTGGTTCTGAAGACACCACAGGAAACATATACTTTTACGTACCCCATCCATTCTGTAATGGTTGTCTATTCGACTGAGATGTCTTGTCTTACATTGTTTATCCATTTCATTCCTTTTTCACTCTTGATCCCCTTATTTTCATAAAGTCCAAGCGTCTGTCCAGCATATAATTTAATAATGGGCATGCATGGTTTCTTTAGTTGCTACTTGTTTTCTGCACATGGTGATCTTGGATAGATATTGTGAAGCGGTGGAATATTTAGTGAAGAATCTGGATCATGTAAATTAAATGGGATAGCATCTAGCAATTGAACTGTTCAGTGGTAAGCCAATAAAATGGCACACTAAAATGAATGTCTACTAAGTGCTAGGCGATTTACATGTTTGCAACAATTGTTTGCTTGAGTAGTCTGAAAGACTTGTATGGTAGATGACTTTCCATTATCTAATAGCCTCTCTGAATTTTGAGCTTTCTCACGCATTCTATGTCCTTTTATTTTGCTTAGCAGAAATGCACTAAAAATTGAAGATCCAAGCAGCCTATCAAATTGGTTTGGTCTTGTAATTCCATTTTACTTGTTTTTCGTTGCAGTCAATGCCAATGCAAACAACCGACAAAACTGATGCTGTGAAATCTATGCTTTCCGGAGAGAATAGTGAAGGCTCAGATGGATCAAAGTCATCGGACACAGTTGAGTGGGACCCATGGGACCCTCCGCATCCTCCTTGTCCTACTTTGCCACCCACAGCAAGCCTTATGAGCCAAGTGGAAATGGTCAAACAGGTACAATAACTATCTTCTCATACGATATCCCACTCCATCCCTTTCCATAGAATTTACCTATTTTTGTTGTTTCTTGACTGAATGTTCCTCCTTTTTAGCATCATTTTCAAGTACTGGCCGTACTTGCTGCTTCCAGGGCCACAAATATAATTGCCCCAGACCGTACTCCTCAGGTTCTCTATTCTTTTCATTTAGCATATCTGTCGGATCATTTAGTTATCTTAATATTTTTCTTGTTTACAGGCAACTCGTTCTATAACTACCTTGTGTATTGCAACATTACAATTTCTTTTACTAAGATAGATCTGTAGAATGCTTTTTTCTGTTCTGCTACACTATTGAATAACTGAATTGAACTTTCCTTTAATCCTTTCTCAAACATGGATTGATTATCTAGGAGGTGCGCCGTAAATTTGCTGAAATATGCAGTGAACTGGCGGACATCCTTGAAAAGGACAGTGTTCGGAGATTCCTCAACTTGTACAGAAGAAATATGCGTATCATGGGTTGGGGTCTGGTCATCACATCTCAAACAATGGACTTCATTGTTTCATTCAATGCCCTGCGTTGTGCTAAGGTTGTCTTGGAGGGCAAGGCACCTAAGCTTTGTCAGATCCGTGCCAACCCCAACTACATGACTAGCTATGGGTACTTCCCCCTCCACAAAGCTGCTGAAAAATTCTCAGTTGACATGATTAAGTTGCTGCTTTGTTATGGTGCATCGGCGAATTTACGCACATCAGGCCAAAAGGTCATCGAGGGCCTCCTCCCACTCCATGTTGCCATTGAGAACACTTGCATGCACAAGTATCTGGAGGACAATCTATTAACTGACCGGAAGCTCAAGCAAGTGGATCTTGACTTCATCTACAAGCTCATCCATCTGCTTTGTCTGCCTGAGATGGTTTGTTTGAAATCCCTTTCTGCAATTACTACTTTGGTTATGTAACAACAGTAAAGAAGTTGAACTCATGCCATGCCAAATATCTAAACCTACTGCTATAACACTTAAGAACATCCAATTTGTGTATTTCTGCTTGAGAAGGAGACAACAGTTATTCCGTGATAGTTAATTCTCTATTGCTTGTTGATAAAGTTTGAAGCAAAATGACAACACATGCTAGGAGATCAGAAGTTAAATCTGTTCTGTATTGATGGTCTTTGCAGAAGATTTTCTTGGACACGACAAGACTGCTTGCAGATAACACAGATAATATTGTTGATGAGCTATGGAACTACATCAAGGAGGGGAGGCTTGTCCATGCTGCTATTTTGCTCCTTGCAGCTCAACGAAAAATTCGTACCTGTGCTTCCTCTAATAGAAACATCAGCTGTAACCTGAATGGATTTGATATTATCAGGGATCGTGTTATGGGATCCATAGTTTCCATAGAAAGGGAAGGGCGTGGATTAACAAGTGGTAAAAATAGCAAGGCACATAAGCAGCTGGAGGAGAAGCGGAAATTTTTTCATAATTCATTGATGCTCATTTTTGTAATTTCGAAAACCGGTGAAGCTCTTGATGAGTATATCCAGTCTCATTCAGAGGTACACATTTTTTGTCAGGTCACAACATGAATATCTCTTTTGTTTGATTTACTCCTTGCATTTAAAAAAAATGGCGCTTTTCCTATAGACTCCGAGTCCATAGCTTAATTATTATCACAAAAGATTCCTAAATGTGATGTGTTTTTATTTTTGCTCACTCTTATCTAAACAGTAAAATGTATAATGCAGGTCTCTCATCAGGAGGTGCTTGAGGGTGTTTCATCAATTCTCGATGATCATGGTTTTGCTCCTACTGGAAAAGGGATCAGCATAGGAGACCTGGAATGGTTTGACTCTATCCAGCTTATGCTTCGATCACAATTTTTTATCAATAGATGACTTGTATGCATATATTTTAATTGTTTCTTCTACATGCTCTTGAAGCCGTCCCTATGACTGCAATGCGTCGAATAGTGTGCCGAAGTGCAACTATGGTATGCATTTGTTCTCACAGGACAGAATATGAGATATTTTTCTCAAATTTCCTACTATGCCCTAATAATTTTATTTTGTGGAACAGAAGATTCTGGTACGACCAAGGCAGTTGGAGAATCTCCTAATCTGAATGTTAAAGCTAAAAAAGTAAGTATATTGAAACTGGGTACCTCTATTTTCTGCCGTTTATTTTTTTCTGCGGTGTTCATTATTGGTTCTTATTAAGCTGGTATTCCCCAGGGTTTATTTTTGGCTATTTGCATGTTGAAGTTGTCTGGGGCAAAGGTCTCTAAAGTCTCAATTCTTTTGGATGAGAACTTTTTTTTGGACCAGTGAAGTTACATTTTGCTGACTGGTGGACTTAAGGACTAAAACACTTTTTTTTTGGTTCTGTTTGAAATCTGAATTGGTCAAAAGATTTAAGGATAATCCTGATTTGGTAAACTCTAGGATCTGTGGTTTGTACAGTCTGCACCAGTAGTTATGCTTTATGGATTTGGCTGACCTGTCTAATTTAAAGAACATCCAATGGGTTTGCTATCATTTGGTCATCGTTGAGTTAGTAATCTGCCTGCAGGTTTTTACACACACCTGAGAGGTAGGGGGTTTTGCTATATATGGTTGCAATTAGATGAAGGAGGAATAGAGATATTAGTTGGATTCAGATTTTAATTTTATTTGCCTGTGTTTGATCCTGACCAAGCAATATTTGTAGCAAACCATCAAGTCCTTTTTGAAAATTAGTAGTTGCTTAGGGCGTACCTACATACATAACTATCTGGAAGTAATGTTTATGTGACTATCTGGCCACTCAAGCCTTGCTTGAACTCTCCAATCTGTATTTGGTCTTGCTGGAAATTTTTCGCCAGTCTATTCTACCCGTTGTATCTGGCCTTGCTAGACATTCTCCAGTCTATTCTACCCATTGCTTTCTGTATAATGCTATTGCGGCTGCCAGGCAGAAAGTGTCCTCCTTCCCCGCCCTGGCATGTTGATTATGGTCATTGATGGTCAATATGTAGTGAACTAACATTCCCTAATAAAAATTTTAGGCTCCAGGCAGCTGTTCCCAGATGACTGAATGATTAATTTGTGATTTCGTTGACAAAACAACAGTGACATGTTTAGACTTAGTGTTGTGTCTTTGTTTGGTCATATTAAATTTTTTGTTACATGGTTTCTGATGTTGAGATTCTGATTGATTTGTGAACCAGGCTGTTGGAAAGCAAATACAAAGTAGACGAGAACTTGAGCAAACGAGGAAAATGTTCTTCCCACATTGGAGATCACTTTTAACATCTCGATATACTGTAAAAGTATTCCCATTCTATGCACACATGATGGAGCGTGATCATGTTTCAAATCTTCATATGGCCGGTGGTACTGAGAATGGATTGAAGGATAAATGGTGTTCTCCAGTTGGCGTTAGTTTGTTGGGAAAACCACCACAACTAACAAGTACTAGTTATCAATCCAGAACCAGAAGGCTATTTGGTACTGCTGCACTTACACTACTGAAGACCTTAAAGCGTGCATGAGTTGGCAGGCAGGTTAGGTATATGGTTTTTGGTTCAAGCTCTTTGACATCCAAGGTAGATAGATTGTATGGAAGGAATCAAACATCTTCGTTGCCCTTATACTTTTTCTCTCTTTCTTGCGCAGGTGCTCAGTTTGTTGTGGAGCACGACCATTTTCCCTGCGACGAGACAAGAACGTCGTTTGCCCGCAATGGATGTTAATTTTGCTGGCCTGATTCTGACCTCTCCAAGTGTTGGATATGTATGTAGCAGTCGTGCTGATGTGCTTTTGCTGCGTATTATGATATGTAGTGCTTGCTTCAAGTGTTCTGTTATGAAGCTTGACAATGGACCTGACATGTTGGAACCTTAAAAGGTTATCCTATTTAATTGTAGGGTCGAATCGAGGATACACAGCTCCATTGGATTTTACTGAACTCACCACTTGTATGCTGAGATAGCACACGACAATTTTATTTGTTATCTATGGCCGAAGTTGCATAATGAACCACATCTTAATTACCTCATGTTTTCACTTTGGACTAGTAACAATTTGTTGGTTGCACATTGTACCTGGTTAATCTCTTCTTCCTCTGCCACCATTAACACCTTAGTGGCACCGGTGAACGCACATGTACAGCAGCTCGAGCTTCCTGGTGTGCAGGCGAAGGCTTCTGGGTTTTTTTTTTCCACTTTTTTTTTCGAGCAAGAGGAGTCGAAGCTCCTCCCGTTTACATTTATCAGAAATGAGCATTACAGGTAGCAGTGGGCCAGTAGCAGAAGGAAAAGATCACCTGTCTAGATCAAGGTTCACCGAATCGTTTGGGGTGGGTTACCACCACCTCACCGTTTGATGGTTATCACGGTTATCATGAAAACCACAAGGTTAAGAAGGTTGTTGCACGTGATAATCACGATAACTGCGTGATCACCGTGCAGTTTGTAAACCTTGGTCTAGATACACCAGCATTCCCTACCATTGCCGTCCCATCCTGGGGTAAACAAGAAGAAAAACAAAAGCACAAACACGGTCTAGATACACCAGCATTCCCTACCATTGCCATCCCATCCTGGGGTAAACAAGAAGAAAAACAAAAGCACAAACACAGAGCTCGTAGCTGAAACAGAATGATGCTTTTTGGGGGTTGTACAGATGAGACTGCATGGAAATTGCCATCTACAAGCAAAACAACTTCTTTCACAAAGAACTTCAGTTCTGGTACTCAGATCCCTGCAGATGCCCCAGCTTGAAGCTCCATCCATAAACATATATGACCATCACAAAATAGGGTTAACACTCGCAGATAAATTCAGCTTGAAAAGAAGTTGCAATTCAGAAGCGTGCTGCACAGGGTGCATAACAGCAGCATAAGTAATAACATGTTGTTAGGGTCTAGACTACTAACCAAAAAGGGCCCTCCAGCCACCTAAACAGCACACTTACAGAAGGCACATGCCAAGAAACTACTAGTTTGACCCTTTGTGACTCAACCGAAAATAAGAAGACATGCTGGACTTAGCTCTGGAGTAGTTCCATCATTCTTGTCCAGTAGTTTGACGCAGACCGAGTTTGCTGTCTGCTTGTACACCTCACCGACTTCAGTATTAAACAAGACATCTAATATTTTACCACCTGCATTGGGAGTTTCTATAAATTTCATGACAACAACATATGCTCCCTTAGCCTCCTTGATGTCCAGTAAATACCCCTTGACAAACTTTTCTATCTCTTCCTTGACTGAGATTGCTGAGATGTGATTTCCCACGAAAACTGAAGCAACCATTGGCTGAAGCGATAGCACCAAGTTCACAACAGCCTCCGTTTTTGCTGTATCCCCCTTTGCGACAATTTTGTATTGCCCATGGAAAGCTACTGTACCAACAGTTGGAGCCTTGTCTGCAATATAAAAATTAAACCGATGGGTTAAAAGAAAAAAGAAAAAAAAATCAAAGTCAATGTACTCAGAAGATTAACTACTTACTTATATAGTCCTTTCTTATGGTCTTGGTTGGCTGATGAGCCCTGAAGACAGGCAATCTCAGAAGGTAATGAGCCCATTTATCCTTGATTGATTCCATTGTCATCTCATTATCCTTCATTTTCATTAAACTATCCACTAGCTCAAGTTTCTCCCGAGGTTCACACCGACAATTGAAGTGTTCGAAATAGACTTTCATACTTCTCAACACTTGGCACAGATCCTTCTCAGTAGTGTTTGGAGTAATAGGAAACATATCTCTGACTGTTTCACTGACAAAAGCGTTGTCGGTTTTCACATCAAACAACAGTATTTTCAGCGATATTGCCCTTCTTTCTAGAACATACATTCCAAGCAACTCAGCGTGCGTTGGAGAATTGCAAGGGACCTCTCGGTAGATGGCACAATCAACGATATCTGTAGCTTCACCAGTAATCGCTGTGCAAAGATCGGCTGTACCAGTCCCATGGTTATACCTACCATCAGATTGCCCTTTGAAAACGACCCGGCCATTCATCATAAAACTAATGCTGTCGTCGTGCATGATGCACTCGATGGAACCCAGTGAAACTTCCCAATTCTCAGTGACCAATATACGTTTCTCTCTTAAGAAATCCATAAGGTAACTCCATCTCGACGGCTCCATAGCAATCAAGGTCTTCATTATATCAAGAGCTGAGAGATAGATTGGGGGTTTCCCGAACTTGTCTTTGAATTTCTGATCTAGCGCTTTGGTTTCAGGACTGACAATGTGATGTTCAAGAATCAGACAGCTTGCAACTAAAACGGGACGCACCAGCTCATGGTAAAGTTTCTTCATCTCTTCAAGATCCAGCCCCTCCTCCACAAGATACTTGTAGTCTTCCTCATACTGCTTCATCATTGTATCCGAGACACCATGACTGATCTTAAAAGGGGTTAGTTGAGGCACCTGCTCATCCTCATTACACCAAGGTCTCATCAGTGTTGCTGGGGGACTTGGAATTTGAGGTAGTCCGGTACTCATCAGCCGCTGCAAACACAATATATACACGACCCAAATCATCAGTCAATGAATACATGACCCAAATAAGATAAGACTAGCTACAAGCGAGGAAATTGGGGGTCCTTTAATTGGACCTAAATTTGGAATTTGGAGTTACCCACCCGCAAGCAGAAGCAGCTGGCCAATGGCGGCAGATGGTTACGTTCCCTCCGCAGCGACCCGGCCGCTGATGGTGAGAAGACTGAGAGCACCCTCTTCGCCGGCGACGAGGCCAGCATCCTCGCCGCCGGCTGCTGCAGGTGGGTGGCTGCTCCCGGCGGCGACCCGGCCAAAGGCGAGGGCTTTGCCGGTGGCAGGTGTTGGGCGCCAGGTGCCGGCGACGGAGAGAGCTTCATCCGCGACGGCTGCTGCAGGTGGGTGGCTGCTCCCGGCGGCGACCCGGCCCAAGGCGAGGCCTTTGGTTGGCCGCCGTGGCAGGAAGCTGCCGGCTTCTGCAGGCGGGCGGCGGAAGGCGAGGCCTTTGGTGGTGGTGGTGCCAGCGACATGGCGGGCGTCCCCTGCGGTGGGCCAGTTGCCGGTGCAGGTGGGCGGCGCCCGGCGGCGACCCGGCCGATGGCGGTGGTAGGGGTCGGCCGCCGTGGCAGGGAGCTGCCGGCGACACGGCCACCTTCCTCGCGGGCTGCCCATGCCCATGGGTCGGCGAGCTGCTGGTGGGTGCAACCCATCACCATTCTCGCCGGGGCCGACGGCGAGAGGCCCACCGCCGGTCGTAGACGGCGGCCGGCCACCGCAGCCGTCGCCCTTCGAAGCATCGGTAAGTGCTCGCGATTCACACTAGCTAGGTTTTCTTCTTCCTTTCTTCTTCTTCTTCTTCTTCTTCTTTTTTTTTTTTTGGTTTTTTTTGGGGGGGAGAGGGGGGCGGGCAAAAGCAGCAAGGGGAGAAAACTGGGGATTGGAGAAGAAGGTGGTCTCTCCAGGCGAAGCGATGCGCGCACTCCTTCACTCACTCACTTCGCTAAGCTGCGCTGTTTGTGCTTAATTAATTTCCTTGGCTAGCTCACAGTTTTAAATTTCGAAATTGCTATTTCTGCCGGGGGCACAGAAATTTCGGGAATTTCTTTTTTTTTTTGGCCGAAATTATTTAACATTTTGACTGATTTTGAATGAATTTGAATAAAATTTGACCAAATTCATAAAGATTTGCAAAAAACCGAAAATTTCGGGCCATATATGAGATTACTGAAATTTCGGAAATTTTGAAACGAAATTTCAAACCCCGCTAGCTGTTTCAAATAGTTCCTCACTCGATGAAACATGCATATGCATATTTCTAACAGATGCAACAGTCAACAATACTTGTTGCAACACCACCAAGACCCCAGCACGTGAAACATAAAAAGGAAAATCAATTGCAACATTGCAAAACGAGTGAAGTGCACATGCGTAGTATATCATCTATATCCCTAAACTCTTAAAATTCTTTTCTTCTTGTCTCCAAACTTATCTTGACTGTCATGTAGGTTTGTACACTGACATGACAATATCATAGTGGCACCTACGTGTTAGTGGGACCCACTTATCAAACACACATAGAATAAAAATTTAAAAACATCTTTTTCTCATCTCTCTCTCTCCTCTCTTTTTTTTTCAAAATTAAAAAAAAACATTTTTGTCTCCTTTATCCTTCAATTTTTTTATGTGATTGACATGTGGGTCCCACCAACATGTAGAAACCATTGTGACATGTCAAGTCAACACATGGGTCGGATTAGCGCTTGTTTGGACCTATACGACACCCTAGACAAGTTCGGGAACACAAAAAATACATTTTGAGAGTTTAGGGACCTATGTGATACACCATCACAAGTTTAGGGACTGTCTGTGCAGTTTACTCTTGAAAGGAAAACACAAAGAGACTACTCCTTCCTAAACATTAAAAAAATTACAGTTTATAAAAATTTATGAAATTGCATGTATGAAAAAAAGATAAAATTTGCTACAACACCCTCAACAGGATGATTTTTGGTGCTAGACATCACAAAAAAACGTGAATTTGCCGAGAAAACTTTAATTTGATGCAGGATATCGGACGTATTAAAAATTTAAAACACAATATTCACTCAATTAACGAGACATAAACTATGTTAACAACTGGACATTCACTCATATCGGCAACGACTACGCCGGTGACTAGTACTGTAGCCGAGCCGCTTCCCAGAGCTGGACATCGATCGCCAGCCCGGGTTGCCTCACCGTCCTGGGCAACAACTGATCGAGTTGCTAGCTTCCTAGAGCCGCTTGCCTCCAGCGCCAGCCGTCTGTGACCTGTGATGCCAGCCCAATCTGCAAATCCCTCCTCCCATGCACCCCCGCCCAATCACCCTCAATCACCATGGCGAAGAAGGCATGCCACCAAAGTTTTTTTTTTTTGGGGGTTAAATTCTCTCTCCACCTCTAATGAAAATAATATTTTAATGACCATATCGTGTCATATAGCAAATTATCAGTATCATCAAACAAATTCACAATCTTACGATGGTTACCAACGAAGACCACACTTCTTACGGTGGTTACCAACGAAGACCACACTTTTTTTTGAATGTAATGTAACAATTTTTTTTAAAAAAATAACTTAAAACACATAACTCAAAATATTTTCTGCAGATATTCATATGTGCCTTTTGACAAATTAATTCAATTTCGAAGAAGTTTGATAAGTTTTATCACAATATTTGATAATGAAGAAAAACAAACATGCCACGTACTCCCTCTCCATCCCGTATAAGTAGCTAGGTTGTTTTTTAGCCTCTCCCATTTCTTACAATATATTTTATTTTGTAAATAATCATTACATCAGAGTTTGTGAAAGTAAGATATAAATGTATTGGGAGTACATAAATAATGATATCAAAATAAATAATGATATCAGGATTTGATAAACTGAAAGTATTATAGTCTTTCAGGGTTTGTATTGGTATGTATGGGAATGGTATGAGTGAAAAATGAACATACTCTCTCTCTGTCAAAAAACCTATTTCTAGGACGGAGAAGTTGTCCCGGTAAAAATCGAGTTCTGCTAAAAAAAGAGAAGCAATCAAGTAATTTGCAAGAGTTGTCGATAAAGACCGTGTCCTCTTTCTCTATTACTAGGACTCTCCCATCCGCCATATATTGTTTGAGAATTGATGATTGTACTTTGTGAGGGAGTTTTGGTCTTTGGATGCATGTATTAGTTTAGCCTAGGCTTCTAGGAATTGCTATTTTGTGGGACAGAGGAAGTATTTTGCAATGGAGGGAAAACGTACCTATAGTTTCGAATAAATGAATCAGAGAGCTATCTGTAGTTTCGAATTCAGTTCGAACCTCCGTGAACTATACTACTACTAGTTCTTAAATAAGGTTCCCTCAAAAAAAAAAAATCACGTGTCCGTTTAAATGGGTATATAGCCCATCTTAATCATGATCACGATGACTATGGGGGTGTTTAGATGCATGGTATTATATAGGGTGTCGTATAGGGTGTTCGGGCACTAATAAAAAAACTAATTACAAAATCCGTCAGTAAACCGCGAGACGAATTTATTAAGCCTAATTAATATGTTATTAGCAAATATTTACTATAACACCGTATTATCAAATCAAGAAGTAATTGGGCTTAAAAGATTTATCTTGCAAATTAATCGCAATCTTATTTTTTAGTCTATATTTAATACTTTATGCAAGTGTTCAAATGTTCGACATAATGAAAACTTTTAGGGTGAGATCTAAACCGGGCCATAATCTCAAAATTAATCCATACCCTACACGCGAAGCTCAACGCTAGTACTCCTACTTTGTACTGTACCGTGTATCGCAAAATTATGAAGGACATCCACGCTAGCTGCACATGACGTCGAACAACGTGCAGTGATGCGATCGACTATACTCTGCAACAGTGACCCCGGCCACAGAGAGGAGGTGTTATTATTCCTCTACTGAAAAGCCTAGTAGTATGTGAATACTCCTACTCTACAAGTCTCGAAAAACTATCAAGATGATATTCCGGAGTAGGAGTAGGGCACAAACCAAGGCATACACGTAAGCGCGCAGTACATAGAACTATTGATGTGGACACAAGTAGAAACTACTCTATCTGTTTAAAAAAACTTAATCTAAAAAATAATATGATTTATCTCATTATAATAATCTGTATAATCATATGTACTTCATTGTTGTAGAAGTGATCATGTTCCCTCTTATATTAAGTTTTTTTATACGAAAAGAGTATATAAAATTATAGACCTCGGTGTGCAAGTACATTGATACGTAAACACGCAAGTAAGGCCTGTTAGGTACAGCTCCAACTTCTAAATATAACTCGAGGAGTTGAGTCTGGAGTGGAGTTGTGGAGCTGCCTAAACCCAGCTCCACAGCTCTAGTACATTTTGTGAGAGAGCTCCACCCAACTCCACTCCCAGTTTTAGTGGAGCTGAAACTGTTTGGCTGAGCTCCAGCTCCAGGAGGGGTGGAGTTAGAGCTGGAACTGTATCAAACAGGCCCTTAAGTATAGAACTATAGACCCAGCGGGCGAGGCTATAGCTATGCTAGTTCCTTCAGCTTTCACACTGTAAAAAATGATTTTTACGCTTCCCTTATTTAACCATAGACGGTCTGGCTAAATTAATGCTCGTATAAAAACATATTTTGATGAATTTCGGTTAAGATTTGCTTGTAAAATCCCACTTTCGCAAACATACATTATAAGATGTCCGGTTGAAAAAATGGATTTTTGCAAGCTGGGGTTTCTCTTCTCCGCTTGTGGTACGTGCTGAGCACGTGCTTTTGCCTTTTTCTCTCCTCTCTCTCCACTCCTCCTTTTCCTTCGCTTCCCCTCTCTCTGCTGTCATTTTTCTCCACTCATTTTCCTCCACCCTTCCACTCTCGCCCGGCCTTCTCGGGCTCGAGCTGGCAACGACGACGGTGGGAGTGGCGGTGACTTTTGATCGGCGGTGGGGGCATCCTCGGACTGCGCGGATCCACCGGTGGCAGCGACGGGAGGGGCGAATCCATCAGCCTCTCCCCCTCCCACGCGAATCCCATCGCCTCTTCACCCCTTACACGTGCGGATCTGTCGGTGGCAACGATGGGAGGGGCGGATCCAACGGTCTCTTCCCCTCATGCGCGCGGATTTGGCGGTGGCGGCGACGGGAGGGGTGGATCCGACAGCCTCTCCCCCTCCTGTGCGGATCTCACCACCTCTCCACCCCTATCCCTACAACAACAACAACGATGGGCCTCAAGAGGTGCAGATGTGGTAGTGGGCGAGGCAGCGGATCGACAACCACGACACGGATGAGCGGTGGCGTCGAGCTTCATCAGAGAGGGATCCGATGTTGGGAGCTCGCCAAGCGTGGATCCAGCGGCGAGGATCAAGTTAGGGTTTCTGCATTATTTTATTTTGTAAAAGTCATAGAAATCAGGAGTGTAACTTGACTGCTTGTGAAAATCATGTTTTCGCAAGCGGTCTCCTTATGAGGCCCAACTGAAAAAACCGATTTCTGTGTGCGGTCAGGACATCCATATGTGAAAAATCAAGATCTTCCCAGACACCTCGTGGGAGGCAGTTGGCCTGGCCAGATGCGAAAACCACTTTTTACCGTATGGAAAGATTTTTTTTTATTAGTGTTACAAGGCACGCATACTATTTTTTAATGCAAAATCGATATTATTAGATTTGTATTCAAAAGTAATTTCCCATGTATATTTGTTTGGTAATTATTGGTTAAAAGTTTATCCTAATAAAATATCATAAGTATTATATTTTGAAATAGGGAGGGCTAGTCGATGTATGCTGTATGCATGTATTTACATTACACGAATTAATTAATTGCTACATGATTCGCACTTCACCACTTTCAATTCCAAATATTCATTCCTTTAATGTTTGCTACTACAGTTTATCATTGTTGCTAGTTAGTGGCACACAGTACATATTACTATGCTTATTATTACCTCGGCTCCTTTATCC